TGCGTGTGCGTGTGCGTGTGCGTGTGCGTGTGCGTGTGCTGTGCGTGTGCGTGTGCATGTGCGTGTGCGTCTGCATGTGCGTGTGCGTGCGTGCGCGCGTGCGTGCGGCTGTGTTTACCTATGTGTGCGTACGTGTGTGTGTGATTAAATAATGAATTTCTTATGATACCTTGATGTATATATATATATCTTTGCGCGCGTACGTGTGAGCGTGTGTATCTCCCACACCTACTCGGGTTAGCATCCATGTTTGATTGGTATCTCATCTTTCTTTCAGAATAACCAATTATCGCGTGGTAGCGAGTCTTTCGGCAATACTATAGAAGTGCAGCAGGGAGGCCGGGAAGCTGTGATATACGAGGTGGAATGTATGGTTACTAACACCGTACCTTACCCCATCGTCAACTTCCTCGCATTTCCCAGGTAACGTCATGCCACTGCTCTGGTTTCGTGCTTGTTGACGCGTGGAAATCTCCACGGATTCTACAATTCAAATGGCGTAAACATTTGTTATAATACTATCCGTTGATGTTCGCACATAAGGTTTTCATCCGTTTGCATATGACTTACGTTATAGATTATTTACGTAAACATATAATGCCTCTTAGTTTGACATTATTCACGAGGTTTATGTCGTTATTTACACCGGCATTTGTTTAATTTTATTGTCGAAGTTTTTATTAATCATTTATACTTCTAAGTTTTATGTTTACCACGATATATTTTTTACTATAACCTATTTAATGTTATACTTTATTATTATTATTATTATTATTATTATTATTATTATTATTATTATTATTATTAGTATTATTATTATTATTTTATTATTATTATTATTATTATTATTATTATTATTATTATTATTATTATTATTTTATTATTATTATTATTATTATTATTATTATTATTATTATTGTTATTATTATTATTATTATTATTATTATTATTATTACACCGCGGTATCTGTTTGTATTAAAAGCTAAGTGAACAAATGTAATGATATTTAATCCTACAGAGCATAACAATGATAGCTTAATTCTGTGCTGCTCCCATACCACTTGTGCTATTAAATCTTCACATACCACTTGTTCGTACTACTAGTTGTTTGTAAGGAGAGAGTATCTTTGTCGCTGTATAGGAAGAGAGACCTGGCTCACCCGCTAGAAGCTAACATACTCGGCAATAGAGGACAACTAACTGCCAGCAGCGACACCGTTCTCAGTAAGTCATCTCCGCAATTCTCCTAATTCCACAATTCTCTTCGTAGTTCTTCCTATAATATAAGTTATTTCTGTCGATTTTTATAGTAATTATCAAGAGCTTATAATACCTTATTATACGCTTTTAAGTTTATAATTATTATATTAATATATTATAAATATTAAATTATTATATTAATATTATAATATTATAAGCTTATAAGGTATTATAAGCTCTTGTAATTATGCAAATATTAGCAGTTTGCTCCATGGAACTAGTAGATTAATTAGTTAATAAAAGAAAGACGGAAACATGATGGTTACCGTCCTTAATTAGTTTTCTCCATAACACGTCGGCCCTTACTAATCAGACACATATAAGATATCCTTGTACTGATTAGAATTAAGAAAATTATTAACGTTAGAGCAGTTTGCTCCATGGCACTAGTTGATCACTACGTGAATCAAAGAAAGACCAAAACGTGATTGTTCTAAAAATTTTGGCGAAGAGAGATGTCTTAAGATGTTGAATTAGAGAGTAAGAGTCGTTTTAATTATATTATGTAATTAGTATAATTAACGAAGAGGATTTTCGAATCGATCACATAGAGAAAGTATATGCAGCTGATATTTTAACGATGTTAACGATCGTTGTGGGGAGGATTTCACGGGTGTCTTTGTCATTTGACAGACGTGGTGTCGGACTGTGATCACAATAGGAGCGAGTTACGTGTAACAGTCGTGTTCAACCAACCTTTCCGCGGAAGAATCTACGCGAACGGTTACCACAGCATCGCCCCATGCACGTGGAACTTCAACAACGTTGCCGAGGCGTTCATACAGATCCCGTTCACAGCCTGCGGAACGTTGTCCGAGCGACCGGTATGTGATGCCAGCTTCTAAGGGCATAATTTATTATTATTATTTATTTTATTTTAAGTTATAGTTTATTATGAACTATATAGGTTTAGTACTTTTTAAGCATAGTTTATTTATTATTTATCTTTAGTTTTGTTTTTGTTTTGCAGTTGGGATTTAATTTATTCGGGGTCGGTATTTGATTTCAATAGCTAACGTGGATTTTACCTTCATTCCGTTTTTTATTCTGCTATTTTGTTATTCTTAATTATGCTAATAGTAAAATTAATAATTATTATTATTATTACTATTACTAATAATATTTCGTTATTTTTTCGTTAGTCCTATTTTTTTTAGCAGACTAACCAAGCCAACATGCGTATACTCCCCAGAAATCTCCTCACGAGATTTGCTAATGTAGCCTTGCACCCCAGTCAATATGCAGCCATGGCTATTTCACATCATCGTAGAAACCCCCCCCCCTTCTCCGCCGCAGTTTATGATCAGCTTGTGAAGTGCTTCCTCTGTTTGTGTAGATTATCGCAGCGTAAAAACACACAGAGTATCCGTTGTCGGTTTACATAACTAACCGTACGCATCGGATAGCGCGTGGTTAGCGCAGACTCGCTATATATAGCGTAGTTTACTGATACCTGAATGAGGATACAGATGGGAAACGCCCGCGTGCGGCCGACGAATGAACTTTACAAGCGCAAACATTCCGCGTTTAAGACGTTTAGTTACAGAGGGCGTGCTAAACGTAGAATATATTGAGTCAGTTTCGAAGAAAAGCCTCGATCTGTTAGGACGCGAAACGTTAGCAGGTAGTTTGAATCGCACGGTTGAGTAAGTTAATCAATCAAGTTACCTGTAAAATAATTATATTATTTAAGGGCTCTTCATTTAACGGCGATAGAAGGTTAACAACTTCAATTGCAATACGATTGAGCGCGAGCGCGTGGGAATCTGTTAGCTATGTTTTATCCGCAAGTAAATACGCAGGAATCGTACGTTTGTGTCCTTAAATGCTGCATGCAAATGAGACAAGCTAGTGCGTATATATATATATATATATATACTCTAACGTAGTGAGTAAAAGTCATGTCTACGATTCGGGAGCAATTGATGCTATTTAGTATAATTATCAGGTATTATTAATAGCGATAACCCCGCTCGGCGGATGTAAAACGTGTTTAATTGAAATGCCACCCGCAGTAACATTGCCTTGTGAAATTAACATCATCACGATTAAATTACCGTGCCTCATCAAGCCCATTGTTATTTGCCAAAAGAAAGAATTTTCGCTGCATAATTTCATCCGAAAATAAATTATGCGAATGTAATTCGATTATCAGTTAATTATGTTAATTAATTATGCGTGTAGCGGTGTGTCGCATGGCCGGGGAAGATCAAGGGGAGATGTTTCTCTCGTTAATTACCCTCGTTGATTCTCACGTCTATCTATCTATCTATCTATCTATCTATCTATCTATCTATCTATCTATCTATCTATCTATCTATCTATCTATCTATCTATTTATCTATCTATCTATCTATCTATTTATCTATCTATCTATCTATCTATATATCTATCTATCTATCTATCTATCTATTTATCTATCTATCTATCTATCT